TAAACTAAATTCTCACATCATATAGTCGGTGTGACTAAGCATCTCAATTTATGCACGGCGGGGAAGGTCCTGTTAAAGATGGAAAAGTTCAAGGCAACTCGCTCTACATCGGGTACCTCTGCTAGTTACAACATAAGAAGACGGAAAGGAAAAGCCAACTTCTGCTTCTTTTTATCTCTAAAGCATTTTTTTCTTCTTGTCTAATATGTCAAAGAAAAGAGAGGAAGAAAATTTTCATTAGAGTTCTATCGTAGACCGTAAATTCTTTATCTCACATTCGACAAGATGCACATAGTCTACATTCGGATCGTTGCGCAGAAAGAAAAGAGGAAAAATTTTCATCAAATGAACGAAAAAAGAAGTGAAGAGAATTGCTATTGCTTTTTATCTTTCCTTTTTGAATGTGTCCTTATGTCCCACATACAGATTCTGCATGACACATCAAGAAAAAGACGAATTTACGCTCTACGATAGAACTCTAATTAAATAGAAGATATACAACACTTGAACAAGCACTTTTGGTTGGAATTTTCCCACTAATACGAGAGAAGAGAAAAGAAAGAACTCTATCACTTATCAGTCAAAAAAAATCTTGCAGCTCATCTCTCTACTCAAAAGAAATAACGAATAGATAGATGTCTACCCCCGCATCTACTCCATCCACTCCAATGCTTCCCTGTACTCAAGACTTCCAGTGGTGTCGGACATCAACTACAGAATTGTCCTCTGGTGACCAAGAGCAATCGCAGAAATATTCCGATATTGAAAATGAAATCATTGAAAATGGTTACAATGGAAAGAAAACGGAAGTAGAAATTGATGGAGGCTATGTAATCGATTTACATCGAAAACTTCAGTACAAAAAGGATGATCCTTCCCAACAACATCGAATCGAACGTTTTCAACTATCCAGAGATCGCAGAAATGTTCATTTGCGTACAGAAAGGTTTGGATCACCCGTAACACTCGGCGCCCCAACATCTTCATCTCAACAATCAAACAACATGAAAGATATTGCTTACGTTATGAAGCACGGTTCGTTTCCATCTGTTTATTTTTTTCAGGCGGTATACCACAAGGATAAAAAAGTTGCTGACATTGTTGAAGAAGCCGCTCAAGGAATTGTGAAAGAAGGAAAGGCTCAGGAAAAACTTCATGAAGCACAATGGCTATCTCAACAGCTATTGGCAGTCAAACATTTTGGTGACAACGTCCCAGCAAAATTTACTGAGAATCCATGTAAAATCACTGAAACATGTATTTATCTTTTTACAAAAAACTCATTTTGGTATGAATTATTTAACCGTACTCTACGTGAAGCAACTGCTATTACTCCTGAGCGAATAGAAACCGTAGGACCGTTCGCTCTGTTACTCCACACTCATCTGTTTAAGGATCATCCACGCGACACTGAAACAGTCTATCGTGGTTTAGGACTCAACGATGAACAACGAAAAGAATACATGAAAACAAAAATAGTATTTACCGCATTCACTTCCACCAGCAGAAACCGCACAGCAGCAGAAATGTTTGGCAATACTCTCCTAATTATGAATCTAAAAGATGATCATATGTCAAAACGTGATCAATGTGGTGCAAACATTTCTCATCTGTCGCACTTTCCAGACGAAGAAGAGTTTTTAATATGGCCAGGAAGAATATTCCATTTTACGGGTTATGAATATGACGATCGCAATAGTAAACATGTTATTTATTTATCGTGGTCAAACTCAGATGATTTATTCAACCTTCAGAGTGATTATGTTTGAAAGTTGTACGAAAAAATATCCGAACACTCGGGGCGTGCCGGACTCATGTAAAGTCCCAGCAAAATTTACTGAGAATCCATGTAAAATCACTGAAACATGTACTTATCTTTTTACAAAAAACTCATTTTGGTATGAATTATTTAACCGTACTCTATGAACAAACGATGAACAACGAAAAGAATTCATGAAAACAAAAATAGTATTTACCGCATTCACTTCCAGAAGCAGAAACCGCACAGCAGCAGAAATGTTTGGCAATACTCTCCTAATTATGAATCTAAAAGATGATCATATGTCAAAACGTGATCAATGTGGTGCAAACATTTCTCATCTGTCGCACTTTCCAGACGAAGAAGAGTTTTTAATATGCCCAGGAAAAATATTTTATTTTACGGGTTATGAATATGACGATCGCAATACTAAACATGTTATTTATTTATCGTGGTCAAACTCAGATGATTTATTCAACCTTCAAAGTGATTATGTTTGAAAGTTGTACGAAAAAATATCCGAACACTCGGGGCGTGTCGGAGAAACAGCTCTTAAATTAAGCACATTTGTATAAGAAATTTAGTTTGTTAATGTAAACTCAAGCAAGACTGATGCAGTAACAGAAAACAAATGAATCAGTTTTAGTAAAGCTCATTTTTTATATTCGCTCACTTAAAACGATTCTCAGACTCTTGTCAACAATCTGATTTTTTTTTGTATGCAACTAATACTTGAATTAATTGGTATTTAATTCTAACGTTTGTTGAATCTTGACCACTTTTTCGTTTAAATTATTCACACTAATCGAATTAAATGCTGCAATCCCAGTAGCTATAGCAGAGCCAAGTAGTCCTACATCTCCAATCAACAAAGGTATATGTACTGGCTAACCTTTTAAGGGCCCCCCTTCCCTCTAAAATTTTTTTTCTCCCAGAGCACTCAATCTTACTGAAATTTTTATTGAATATGTATCTGACCATTGATAGTTCTCAGTAAAAATTTAAGCTCATAATATTGAGTTTTTCGCGAGTTATTGTAACATCAAGGGTCAAAAA